CGGGGGACACACGGGGGACACACACACAGGGGGGACACCTGAGCAGGGCACAGCCCCAGGGCCTCAGGAGACTGAAATCCGCCCAGAACAGCAGCACTGAACCCTAGGCCAGAGTCATCCCAGAGGGGGGACAGAGACCCCTCAGGTGTCCCGGAGCCCCCTCAGGTCACCCAAAGGCCCCCCAGGGGAGGCAAAGCATCCTCAGGTGCCCCAGAGCCCCTTTAGGTGACCAAGAGCCCACTCAGGTCACCCCGAGCCCACCCAAGTGACCCCAAATCCCCGGGGTGAGCTGGAGCTCTCTCAGGTGAGGAACAGCCCCCCAGGGAAGGCAGAACCCTCTCGGGTGCCCCAGAGCCTCCCAGATCTCCACATCCCTCTGCTCCCACTCCAGAGCCTTTCCCACCCATTCCCCCAGGTGCCAACAAACCCCAAAGGAATCCCAGTCCCCCCAGTCTGGCTTTGTGCAGGAACAGACAGACCCTGGGCCCCTCTAAGCCCCCCCTGCCCCTGTTCCTGGTTCCCACTGCTCCAGGTGAGTCAGGAATTCAAATCCAGCCCTTTAATTGGGCTCATTTCCCTTTTCATTCCCAACTACAAAAGCCCAAACCCTCCTGTCCCTGTTCCCCCCTCGGAGCCACCGGGGGACAGCGGGGTCAGCCCTTCATCCCTCGCCTTTTTTGAGGGAAAAATGTTGGAAAATGGGTAGAATGTTTAATTTAGTCCCTGTCTGAGGCACTGAAATACCAACCCCCCCTTCCCTGGGAGGGAGGGGGATCAATCTCCACAATTCCCTGGAACAGCAGCTCTGACATTTGGCTGCTTCTGGTGATTTATGGCTCCCTCCTCCTGCCTTTTTCCAGGGCAGGGAAGGGGCAGAGCCACGGGAATGAGGCTTCTCCCTGCTCCCAGGAATTCCCAGAGTGGCCACACCTGGATGTGCAGCACCCACAGGTGCCTCAGTGTCCCCCAGAAAGGGCAGGAATTCCAGGAGCTGGGGGAGAAAGGGGGAATGTGGCCTTATTTGATTAATTCCCAGCCATTTCAGGCCATTCCCAGCCTTAATTAATGAATTCCCAGCCATTTCAGGCCATTCCCAGAGTGTTCACACCTGGATCTTCCCCTCCCACAGGTTCCCTTTCCCTCCTGCCCATCTCTGTGTGAGCATCCAGAATTCCCGGATCTGGAGAAGGGTGGGAACGTGGGTTAATTAAATATTCCTTAATTAATGATTAATTATAATGCAGGAACAGTCTCAGGGCCTCATCCTGTTCCCAGGATTATTCTCTGTTAGCCAGGAATTGAGACCAGGATTAATCCCTGTTAACCAGGAATTAGTACCAGGATTAATCCAAGGAAAGGATGTTTTCCAGACCTGGAAGAAGGTTTTTTACACGTGGAATTTGTGTGGAGAGGTTAAAAAATCCTTAACCCCTCACTCTAATAATATAGAATTTCGATAATAATATAGTTAATGCTATATAATATAGCTAATAATACATTGTAGGAAATTATAAGATATCATAATTATTATAATATATTCTGTGTATTATATATAATAATATGTAAATATATATAATTATATAATAAAGACAATATAGCTGGGAAAAGGCTGGAATTCCCTCTGGGAGTTCTCCAGGCTCAGCCCAGAGACCCCAAAACCCCCCGGGCACCTTCGACCCAAACCCTCAGGGAAATTCCAGACTCATTGATTCCCATTTTTAACTGATTTTAAGCTGATTTTAAGCCTGGAAAAAAACCCACTTCCTTCAGGGAAGCATTTTCCGGTGGGAATGTTGCAGGAGCACAAGGACAAGGCCACAATGAGCAGGCAAAACTGGCTAAAAGGTTTTAAATTCTTGGTTTCAGTAATTTAAAACTGTCAGGTTTTTGACACAAACAGCTTTTGACACCAAGAGCTGCTGAAATCCCGGGATGCGGGAGCAGGATTTCAGCTCCTTGTCAACCCAGGGCAGGGTTTTATGGATATTTTCTTGTTTTATGGATATTTTCTTCCCCAAACCCAATATTTGTGCAGTTTCTCAAGGCTGGGTTCAATCAGCTGCTCCAAACATCATCCCCAGCACAAACCCAGCCCAAATTAAACGCCAGCACTAATTACACACAGAGGGCACAGTTTAAGCCTGGATTAAAATGGGAAAACAAGGCTTTTGATGAGTTTTTAGACCCCCATGTGACATCAAAGTCAAGCCTAATTTAAGGGTTTCAAATGGGAATGTTTGTTCCTCCGGGGACAGGCAGGAGCAGGCCACAAGATCCCAAAACTTTTCCTTCCACATCCCAAAATTTCTCCTTCCAGCTTGGCTCAGAGGGCAAACCAAGGCACAAACCTGGCTGGTTTTAGTCATGGATTCATGGAATGGTTTGGGTTGGGAGGGACCTCAAAGCTCGTCCAGTCCCACCCCCTGCTGTGGGCAGGGACACCTCCCACTATCCCAGGGGATCCAACCTGGCCTGGGACACTCCCAGGGATGGGAAATCCTCTGGAAAATCCATCCCAGCCCCTCACAGCCTCATAGGCAGGAATTTCATCCCAAAATTCCATCGAAATCTCCCCTTTTTCCAGATGGAAGCCCCTCACCCCTTGTCTTTGTCCGTCTGCAGCTCCTGGAGCCCCCAGGGAAGGAAAATGCCCTTTAAAGGTGATTCCAACCCAAACTGTTCCATGATCCCAGGCAAATAAACAGGAAGAGCTGCCCAAGCCTGGAATAACTCAGGGAAAATCATGGAATGTTTTGGGTTGAGAAGGAGCTTAAAGCCCATCCAGCTCCGTGGGCAGCGATACCTCCCACCACCCTGGGACACTCCCAGAGGGTGGTGCAGCCAAAACCCCGCTGGACAACCAATTCCAGCCATCCCAGGAGCAGGATCCATCCCCAAACTCCCACCCACCTGCTCTGGAGCTCAGCAAAGACCTGCTTCATCTTCCTGATGGACGTGTCCATCTCCTCCTTGAGCAGGGCCCGGTACCGCGCCAGGGACACGGAGCAGCGCTGCAGGTCCTTCACCGACTTCTCGATGTTCGACCCTGGAACGGAGGGAACGGGCAATTCCAGCCTCTGGATCCTTCCCACGGGCACGGGAAGGGATGCTCCAGAAACAGGCATCAAATGCAGCCCTGGGCTGGGTTTGGGCTGGAGAGGAGCAAAGCCCAGGCTGCTCCAGAGCCCAGCACGAGGGAGAGCAACGGTTTGTCTGGGAAGGGAATTTCATGGAATTATGGAATGGTTTGGGTTGGGAGGGACCTTAAAGCTCATCCAGTTCCACCTCCACCGGGACATCTCCCACTATCCCAGGTGGCTCCAACCCGGCCTGGGACACTGCCACGGATGGGAAATCCATGACTTCTCTGGGATTGAATGTCTGGACTCTCCAAGGGATGAAAATCCTCCCACCAGGAGGTGACAGGACCCGTCCTTTCGGGTCCCGGGGGCAGAGTTTGGCTCCTGCCAAGTGAAATTACAGATCTTGTTCCACCATTCCCTGAACTGCACCCCCGACCCCCCCAGCACAACCTCCCCGGTCACCGGGGGGTCTCCAGGTCCCTCCTGTCCCTCCCTGTTATTGTCACATCCCAGATTTGGACAAAACACCCCAAAAGGGGGGGGAACCCCCTCCAGGGCTGTCACTTGTTGTCACTCGTTGTCACAGCCCCAGCCTGACCCTTCACAGGTTCTCAGGAACAGCCCCGGGATGTGACGGGACGTGGGGGGAGGGATGAGCTGTCCCTGCTCCAGAGAAAGTGCTGGAATTCCTGCTGTGCTGGGAGGAGGAGGAGGAAGGACCTGGACTACGGGAGGTGCCCCTGCCCAGGGCAGGGGGTGGCACTGGATCACCTTCAATGCCCCTCCCAACCCAGACCATTCCATGAATCCATGGCTTTATGGTCTTCCCTCAATTATGCAAGGCTTGAGCAGCTTTTCCTGTATTTTTATGGATATTTGACATATATTTTATGGATATCTGACAAATTTTACAGACTGATGAGTTCCCCTCCCAGTCTGGCCTAACCAAGCCCCGCTCCCAAGGCCTCTCCTCCTCCAGCAGTGGCTCCAAACCCTCCAATCCCTCCACATTCCCAAGGTTTTGTGTCCTTACCCATTTTCCTGCCGGGGGGTGACACCGGAGCCTCTTCCCGGGGGTCGGAGTGGGGGGTGGGCAGAGCCCTGGGGGGAGGGATGGGGAGCCTTGGGGGGTCAGGGCCGGACAGTCCATTCCTTAGGCCGGGCTCTGCTGGGGAAAGGCAAACTGAGCCAAAAAAATCCAGCAAAAAACAGGATTTGGGACCCAAACCCAAGGAAAACACCCCCCAAAAAAAAAAAAAAAAAAACAACAGAAAATCAAGGCTGTGCTGAAAAAATACCTGGAAAAATTAGGATTTAGGACCCAAAAACATCCCTCAAAAACCCCACCAGAAAATCAGGATTTAGGACCCAAACCCAAGGAAAATCCCCCAAAATGCCCTTCAGCCCCTCCCCACCATTCCCATTCCTGGTTTTCCAGCACTGACCATCCACTTCCCTGCCATCCATCGACATCCCATCCAGGCCCTCGCTCAGGGAATCCACAGACTCCGTGTCCTGGGTGCAGCCGTTCACGTGGAATCCGTTCATCCCCCCCTTCTCCCAGTTTCCCGGGGTCTCCTCTCCAGGAGGAACTGGTTTTCCAGGGGCTGGGAGGGCAGAGCTGGAGCCACTGGGAAGTTTGGGTTTGGGTTTCTTCTTTTTGTTCTGGGAATTTTGGTGAGGGGGGAAAAATACGTTAGTTGTGATTCCTGAGGGGATTTGTGATTCCTGGAGGGAATTCTGGCTGGAAGGGAAGGGAGTTAAATGGGTTTGAAGAGGAGGAGGGATTTATCCCACAATATGGGAATGCAGGGGGATTAATGAGGTGTGAAGGTGTCATGCCTTGTGAAATCTCATGGAAATCCCACTGGAAATCTCACGGGAAATCACAGGAATCCCATGGGAAATCTCATGGCAATCCCACAGGAAAACAGGGAATTTCTGTGCCAGGTCCCCACAAGGTGCAGCTCAAACTCCCCCTGGGATTCCCTTTCCCACCATTCCCAACTGGATCCCCCAAATTCCAAAGGTTTTAGGGAATATTTAAGGAGTGGTACCTTTTTTTTGCCTGTCACAGTCCATTCCTTCAGCACCTCACTGGCATTCCCTGTAAAGGAAAACAGGGATGAGAGGTGGGAAAAGGAGCATTTCAGGTCCTTCCCAGACACTTGGAGGTGCTTCCACACCTGGAAAACCAAGTTTCAAATCTCCTGGTTGATGGAATAAAAGGAGGGGTTTGAGCTGGGCTTTGGGAATTCCCAGTTCAGATGTTGCTCCCTTGGGATACAGGGGGAAAATCCCACTTTTGGGGGGAAAAATCCCATTTTCCAGGGGAAAAATCCAAGTTTCTGAGGAAAAAAATCCCCGAAATCTCCCCCTTTGGCTCTGCCATTTCACAGGTTTGGGCACCAAATTCCTGTCCACAAACACGGGATGAACCTTCCACACCCCAAATTCCATCCCAAATCCCAGAATTCCCACCTTCCATGAAGGCCTGGACTGTTTTGTCCACACAGTTGTCAAAGTGCTGCAGGACCAGGACGATCTCGTTGTTGCTCCTGTTGGGAACGATCGCTCGGACAGCTCCGATCTGGGGGGAAAAACATGGAAAACTGGCTGGAATTTGGGCCGTGGGAGGTGATTTATCTGGAATAAAGACTCCAAAGGCTCCTTTACCTTTTCCTTCATGTTCTCAAAGGTCCCTCCCTGGGCCATCACAGTGTTGGACTGAACATCAAAGATAAATCCCGAGGGATCTGTGGGAAAAGCAAAGTCCTAATAACTGTGCCAAGGAGAATATGGACCCCCAAATCCCACTAATCCCAAAATCCCAGCACCTGAGAGCATTGTCCAAACCCTCCCTGACCTCTGGAATTATGGAATACTATCCTGGATCAAAGTCCAGCTCCAGGCCCTGCTCAGGATATCCCAAAACCTCCCTAATTCCCAAAATCCCAACTTCTCAGAGCCTTTCCCTGAGCTCTGGCAGGTTTGAAGCCTCTTCCTTCCCTGGGGAGCTGTTCCAGGGCCCCATCACCCCCTGGGAGTTGGATTTATCCCCAAATCCAGCCTAAACTCTCCCCTGGCACAGCTCCAGCCATTCCCTGGGATCCCCCAGAGCAGAGACTGGGATGAACAATGATCATTCCCACCCCTCATCCCCACATTAAACCTCCCCCTGATCCCAGCAACAAAGAGTTAAGGAGCCTCTGGAGCAGCCCTTGGATACCAATTTCCTTCTCCTGGAGACACCAGTGGCATCCAGACTGATAAATGGGAATGAAGATCCAGCAGTTTGTGTTCCAGGAGCTCCCAGGGAATGTTTGGATGCTCCAAGAGACCCATAAACGGAGACGAGCCATCACTGACATCCAAAAGGTCACATAAATCTGCACATCCCCAGCCATTCCCGGGGGGATTTCCTGCCAGGCAGGTCTAATTCCAGGTTTTAAGAAGGAAAAGGGATGTTGCTGTGGTTTTCTGGGATAAAATATGGTGGTTTAGGGCTCAGGAAGGGCCTTGGAGGGGATAAAAACAGGACCCCGAGGTCTGGAATGACCCCATTTGGCACCACCACCCCTTTCAAGGAATTATTAAGGCTGGAAAAGTCCCCTCGGACACCAAATCCAACTGTTCAAGGGGGCTTTTCCAAACTTACAAATTCCACGAACCCCCTGGAAATCCCATGACCTTCTTGGTGCTGGAATTATTACGGTTGGAAAAGCCCCCTGAGACAACAAATCCAACTGTTTGAGGGGGCTCTTTCAACCTTAATAATTCCAGGACTCCCCGGAAATTCCATGACACCTGTTCCCTCCTGAGACCTGAACCCCCAGTCACACCATTTCTGTCCCAGTAAACCACACCCGGATCCCTTTTCCTTGGCAGCTCCCCACGATTTGGGATCCCACAGCCCAGTTCTCCTGCAGAGCCCCTCCGGTGTCCCTGGCTGTGTCCCTGCCCTCCCTGCTCCATCCCCACTGACATTCCCGATATCCCAGAGCCGCTGGCTCACCCCCTCCCCTCCTGTAAATAACCAGGACGTGGGTCGGAGACGCCCCATTGACTCCCAGACATTGACGGAGCTTTTCCTCCCCCACAGCTCCAAACACAGTGACAGAGCCCTGGGAATGATGGAAAGGTCAGCCCTGGATTCTGAGAGGATAAATCCCTCAAAGCCCCTTGGCTGGATCCACGTTCCCACCCCCCCACGTCACTCCCCAGCATTCCAGCCCTTCATCTTCCAAAGGGCTCCAACCTCACCTCAACAGGGGGAATTAATGATGTTTTCCCCCAAAATTTTCACGGCAGAGCAGCCACTGAGGATCCTGGGGAAGGAATCCCAGAGTTCCAGGATCCCACGGATCCAGCCTGGCCCATCCCTCTGTCCCTTCCCACATCCCACCCAACTCGGTGCCATCCTGAAGGTGCCTCCATCCCCTTGTCCAGACTGATCCCAAATCACCACCAAGGACATTAAAGAGGCTCCTGAGCCCTGGCAAGTGCCCATTCCCAGCTGGAAGTGCTGGGATTCCCAGGGCAGGGAGCTCCTTCCAAGCCCCTTCTCCGGCTGCTTTGCTCTGGCCCCAAATCCTCCCGGAGTTCAGACACTTCTCATGCAAAAATTATGCGCCTGAGCCGACCCCAAACCCGCTGGATGCGGCCCTGGATGTGCTCCCAGGAATCCTTAATGGGATCTGCTGGCACTGGGGCTCCCCGGGAAGGGACGGAATTTCAAACGCAGCCGCTGAGACTCAAGAGTTTGGAATTTGCATTTTTGTGGGAAGGGAAAGATCCTTCCTTGGGTTGGGAAAACTTCTTCCACCTGTCAGGAAAAGCTCCTTCCCCATGTCAGGAAAAGCCAGTTTTTCCCTCTGGTCAGAGCCTGAATTCCCTCAAAATAACAACTTCCCAATGTTTTCCCACAACTTCCCATCTTTTCCCTCAGCTTCCCCCTTGTTTTTCCCCTCCTAGACCCCCCAGTTCCCTTCCCAGGTGGGATTTTCCCTCAGCACTGACAGAACTGACTCCATTCCTTAAATCCTTAAAGGATTCCTTAAATGATTCCAAGGGCTCAAACTCCAACACAACCACTGAAAACCACTCCCAAATGATCCCATATCCCGATTTCCAGGACTAATTGCCTGGATCCAGCTCAGGGCTCCTCAGGTCGGTGGCATTTCTGTGACAAAGCCTCTGGAAATAACCACTTTATGGAGAACAAAAGCTCTTCCAGGAGGGAAAGGACAGGAATTGTCAACTCAGGAGCCTTAAATTATTAATTAGTCAGTGCAAATAAAGAGAAAATGTGACCTCCCGACACACAAACACCCTCTGGAATTAATATTCCACACAAAGAATCCCCTGGAATCGGCTCCGAGGTGGCACAGAAAGGTGGGCGTGGAGGGAAAAAAACTGCTCCTGGTGCCACATCCAAGGAAAAAAAGGCTTGGAGAGGGTTCACTGGAGGTGCTTTTCCAAGAGGGAAGTGTTTTTCCAAGGCCTGAGCCTTCCCACCCCAAATCCAGGCTCATTCCTTGACTGGACTCCTAGGAAGGGGCTCCCACCAGCCACTCCAAGGAGGAATTCTGTCCCCAAATCCCAAATTCTGTGGAAACCACGACCAAATTTGGGGAGAATTAATCCATAAGGAATAAAAACGCACCCCAAATCCAGGCCCAGCAATGGGATTTCACCACTGGGATCCCAAACCCCCCACAAAGTCCAGCTCTGCCACTTCCCAACTGTTATTTTTCCCTCAGCATCGCCCTTTTTTCCTGCTCTTCTCACTCCTGCTGCCCGTGGAAAGGCTGAGATATTCCCATTAGAGCCTGGAAGTCACAGCTGTCCGAGCGGGGAGTTGAAATGCTCCTAAAAATGTCACCGAGCCCGGGAGGTCCCGATGTCACCGAGACGGTGACAAGGAGCTGTCACAGGGCCCCGCAGGCTCCCCGGGGAACGGCGGGAGAACGAGGCCTTTTCCCAATTAAAAAACTTGGGAATCACCAGCCCTGGGCCGGGTGGAAAACGGGAGGTTTGATCCTGTCACGTCTTACCTTTTGTGTTCTGCTTTTTAGACATTTCCGGCTCCGAATCCGGCCACAAAAAGGGGAGAAATAACGGGAATTCCGAGCGGTTTTGGGGACTGGGGAGGAAAATTCCCAGTCCGGGGGCCTGGAGCTGTTGGGAATGTGGGACAGGCAGAGCAGCTCCTTCCGGGGGCAGGTTCTGTCCAGCTCCAGGCGGAATTTCTGGAAGAGAAAAGAGGGACCGAAAATAAGGGATGAAAGGAGGGAATTGCTGGGGTGGGAGGCAAAGTGTTCCCAGGGGCTTCCGGGGGTTTGGAAGGAGTTGGGATTTGAAAGGGATAAAAGAGCCAGGCAGGAAAAAAACCCTGCTAAAAATAGACATAAATTTGTATCTATTATATAGGTTTAATTTATGTGTTATTAGTGATATTAAATGTTAGAAATATAAAAAACAATGCTATAAAATATTGTCTACAATCACTACGATTTCTATACTTTAATTTATATATTATAGAATTTAATATACTATAAATTGCATGTAATGTTATATATTATAATGTTTATAGCATAAATGTAATAATTCTATACATTATATTTTTATAACCTAAATGGCATATAAAATAAATCCCATATAAAATAACCTCCATATATTATAATATATACATATTATAAATATATGTAATTTCATATAGCTTTTTCTAATATAATTTTATATCACATAAATTATTCTATTATGAATTTTACAGCATATAATTTTTATACCTTATAAATTTTACAGCACATAATTTGTATTTAAAGGAAATTTTGTATATTTATAACATTATTTTGTATATTTGTAAAATATTATATATTTACATGTTATATATAAATATTTTCTATATGAATTTCATGTATTGTACATTCTATGCTGTATAGATTTTATTAAGTATAATCTATATTTTGTATAATATACTTTTTGCTTAATACAAACACATAAATTATACTCAATATAAATGTTATGCAATATGAACTTTATTCTATTATAAATTATCCATAAAATATCCATAAAGCCCCAAATCCCTTTGGATTTGCTTCAGTTCAACCCTTGAATTTAAAGCCACTTTAAATCCCGACAGTGAGTGAAAAAATCGAGGAGATTGGGACTAAAAGAATAAAAACTGCCACAAACCCCAACATTTCGGGACCAGATCCCACCCAGGGACAACCCAAACTCCTGGATTTCAGGATTGATTCCCCCAGAAAAGGCAAAATCCCTCCACCAGCACCCAAACCCCCCAGATTTAACCCCTTCTTCCTGCTTTTTTCAAGGGGCACAACCCACCCTCCGAGGTGGGAATGCCGGGGGGGGATTTTCCTGGGGGAAAAAAAAAAAGCAGGATAAGGGTTAAACAAAGACCAGGATCCAAAGGTGAGGGAACAATAGATCCGGCTCTGGGATAAACCTCCCGATGGAGCACTGGAAAAGCTCCCAAAATTCCCATTTTCTATGGAAAACAGATCCCAAAATTCTCATTTTCCTCTGGAAAACAGAGGGATCTGGAGGCACAAAATATTTGGGATACTGGGAGAGTTTGTCCCTGCCAGGAAAAGGGGTGGGAATGACCTGACAGGGAATTTGCTGCAGGATTAATTAACCCCTGGATCAAGGTTGTTTTTAAGGACTCAAAAGTGACAGGGAATTTTTTTAAGGATTGACAAGTCCCAGGAATTTTTTTAAAGGATTTACAGGTCTCAGGATTTTTTTTAAGGATTTGCAAGTCCCAGGATTGTTTTTAAGGATTCACAAGTCTTGGGAATGCTCCAGGAACAGGGTTTGGATTTAAAACCAGTCTTTTCCACTCTTTCCTTCCAAGCTCCCAAACTCATTCCCAAGGAGTGAATCCCAATGATTGAAATCCCAGATGAAATCAACCCTCCTTTCTGTACCAAAAAAAAAAAAAAAAAAAAAAACAGGAAAAGGAATTTTTTACCTGGAAAGAGTCCCAAAAGGAAGGGATTAAACTCCTGCCTTCAGCTTTTCCCAATTAAAACTCCTTCATCCCCCAAAAGCAAGTCTGGAGTTGGGAATTCCAGGGGGATCCGAGGGATTCCAGCCCAGTTTCACTTCCCTGCTTTGCGCTGTGGCCTGTGGCCAGAACCAGGAAACGCTGTGCCAGGAAAACCTTGGGATTCCAGATCGAGCCGGAGCTTAGGAAAGGCTGGAGCTCCCGCCCCGACCTCTGATCCCGGGATTAGAACCCTTAGGAAGGGCTTTAAACCCAAAGCCGGGCTTAAAATGCAGCAATTCAATAAAACCAAGACCAAAGTCCCCTTTATAATCTTATTTTTGGGAACAAAACCGGTGGGAATGCTCAGGAATGAGGGTTTGGAGCACCTTGGGAGTGTTTCAGTTCCCCGGGTTCCAATTCACGGAACAAAGGGATGTTCAAAAAGTGCCTCTGCAGGGACATCCCGGGAGCAAATCGGGGCAAAAACACCTCCAAGTCCATAAAAAAGCTGGAAAAAAATATGAGTTGTCTGTGGAGTTTTTTGAGAAAAGTCAAAAATCCCCCCAAAAATCCCACCTGAGCAGGCAAAAAATGGAGTTTTGTTGTGTAGTTTAAAGGAGGAAAATCAACAGGAATTAAGGGGGGGTGGAGCAAATGAGGGTTTGGAAAAGGGAATTCTGAGGAGAAAAACGGAATACTGGGAATGGGAGTCAAAGCCCATGGATAGATAAAATGGGATAAAATGGTTAATTCTTGATAATTAATTAATATTTCACCTGGTAAAGCTCCTGGGACCCGGCAGATCCCTGGGAATTCCAACCTAGCTTTAAAGCAGGAATTTTCAACATGAAGGGCTGGAAAAACCCACTAAATCCAAGTGGGAATTCAGTGGGAAAACAGGAATTAACGCAAAGAGGAGGTGGGGGGGTTACAGAGAGACAGGAAAGCCCCAAAACTGACCCAAAAATCCAGATTTCAATCAAATATTGTTGTTTTAAGGGAATTTCCGTGGAGCAAAACAACCCAAATCTGGCTGGAAGGACCAAATTTCTGCAGGAAACTTCCCCACGTCCCATGGAAATGCAGAGGATTGTTACAAGAGACTGTCAGCAGAGGGAAAACAGTTAAATTTCTCAGCCAGCAAGTAAAAAAAACCCCTCAATTCCCAAATTCCCAATTCCAGAGCTGGTTTTGCTCCATCCAGACTGATTATTCAGGGAAAATTTGGGTGGAAAAGTGAGAAACAGGGAGAAATTTGTCTGGGTTTTTATCAGTCTCGGGGAGATTCGGCTAAAAAAATTGGTGTTTGGAAGAATTAAACAAAAATTGGGGGGTTTGGGGGTGTTTTGGGCTCCTGGAAAGGATCACGTGGATAATTGGCTTTGGAATTATGGAGCCTCATATTCCAGGTTATTTCCATCTTGGGGATCATCCCTGAGTACACAGAAATTGGCATTTTCTAATTATTTTCCAATAAAAATCCAATTTCCAACACTCTGGAGGCCCCAGGTGGGCCCTGACCCCCCTGTGGAGCACAAGGAATTAAATCCCGACTAAAAAATGGGATCAGACACTAAAAATCCAGGGATTTCTCACAAAAAACCACTGCAAAGTCCTCCCAAAAAGCTGAAAAAAACCCACAAATTGTCTGTGAAGTGTCCGGGGAAGCTCAAAAATCCCCCCAAAATTCCACCTGAACAGTCAAAAAATAAGAGTTTTATTCAGTTTAAAGGAGGACAAGGAACAGGAATTAAGTGGGAAGGGGGGAATAAACACACCCAGGGTTGGGATGAGGGTTTGGAAAAGGGAATTCTGGGCAGGAAATAAAATACATAAATGTATAAAATATATTATCGATTATATAAATAACATTTAAATAAAATACATAAAGATTTAACACCCCAACAGCCCAAATTCCTGTGCTGTGGTGGGAAGGTTTTTTTGTTTAGAACTCCCAGCTCCAGTTTTATCCCAAATTCTGCTGAATTCCCAGGAAATTTAAACCCTATACTTTGGGATTTTTTTTCTCCCCCAAAACATGTGAAGTTCAAGTAGAGCAAAATAAACCTTTTTATCCCTTCTTTTCACACGTTCCTTGGTGGGTTCTGACCCAGAAGTGAATATTTTTGCCCCAAAACAGCCACAAAATGCATCAATCCAGGGATTTGATCCCAAAGGAAAGAAGGAGCAGCACCAGCCTGCCTGGAATTGCAGGGTTCTTCCCCCCAAAAAAGTCTGGATAATCAGTTTTTTCCCCAAAAAAATCAGGATAATCAGTTTTCAGAAGCCTTTTAAGCACAAGGAAAGGCCAATTCCAGCGGCTCCTCCTATCCCAAAGGTGCTTCTGGAACACCAAACCCCATCTCAGGATTTAAAAGGAATAATTCCTTAATGTCCCTCTTGGGGCCTGGGGGGGAAGTGGAAGGTGGGAGATAATGAGGTGTCTGTATTCCAGGGAAATCCACACATTTATTGTCCGGAATTATTCCAGGCACGGCTGGGAATGAGGGATTATCCCACATCCATCTTTTATGAGGTAATTGGGACACGTTTTCCTGCTTCAAAGGGGTAAAACTGTGGAGTTCAGGGGGTAAAATATGCCTGAACAAGGAGGGAAAGGAGAGGGGGAAAGGGGGAAAAGGGGGAGAAGGGAAAAAAGGAGAAGGGAAAAGGAAAGGAAAAGGAAGGGAAAAGAGGGAGAAGGAAAAAAAGGAAAGGGAAAGAAGGGAAAGAAAGAAGGGAAGGAAAGAGGGGAAGGAAAGACCCCAAACTCTCCAGACCCTCCTCCTGCAACTTTTGAGGGGAAGAAGCCTGGACATCTTCCAAAAGAACCATTTTTATGCTGGGAAAGATCTCCAGGATCATGGAATCCAAGGAAAAACCCCCCAGGGAAGATGTGGCAGCCAGAGCTTTCCCGTGGGAGCATCCAGTGGGAAACACAGCCCAGAATGCGGGAAAAATAGTCCTAAACCCCTCAAAAACCCAAAATATCTGGTGGGACACTGAGGTCGAGCCCTCAGGAAGTTGTTGGGGAATTTTCAGGCCATTTTTCCCAGTTTTCCAAGTTTTCCTCCCATCCCAAGCTGGAGTTGAAGCTCCTGGGACCCCTCAAATCGCACCCTCAGGACCCCCGGGGGGGGACAATTACACCAGAAAGCACCTCAGGGACAATTCCCACATCCCAGTTAGAATCTTCCCCATTCTCCACGTGGAATTAAATCCCACATTTCCCCTTCCATCCCTCTGGAATCTCTGTTTTCACAGGGAATGAGCCACAACTTCCCTGAAAGGGCTCCCTCAACAACGGGCTGGGACAGGAGCAGCACCCACGGGGAGGGAAAAGTGGGATTTAAACTCTGGAAAAGTGGGAATCAGACTCTGGAAAAGCCTCCCCACACCCTGCTGCCTGGATGTCCCACGGAGAAATCCCTGAGTGGATGAGGAGGGCAAGAATCTGTGCTGAACCCAGGGACTTCGGGGGGGCTCTGGGGAGAACATGATGATGATGATGATGATGACGATAATAATAATAATAGTAATAATGATAATTTCTTGCCTATTTTCACCACGTTAACTGTTGGGAATAACGACCAAAGGAAGGGAAAACCCCAGTCCCTGGGGATTTGGGAGCCATTTGACAACCCCAAAATTCCTGTCACCCCCTTGGGCTGGCAAAGCTCCTCAGCCCCCCCAACCCTCACAAAGCCCCTCAGACCTCCCATAAGGTCCCTCCACCCCCCCATAAGTACCCTCAGAGCCTTCCCCAACCCTCACAAGGCCCCTCACCCCCTTAGACTGGACCCCTCAGACCCCCTCGAAGGTCCCTCAGCCCCCCAACCCCCCACGAGGCCCCCTGTGACCCCCCCAAACCTTCACAAGGCTTCTCTGACTCCCTCAGACCCCCCAACTCATCAAGAGACCCCTCAGCCCCCCCAAGGAGACCCTCAGCCCCGCACCCCCACCCCCTCACGAGACCCCTCGGCCCGGCCCCAACGGCGCCTCCCCCGCCTCCTCCCGCCCTCCGGGCCGATCCCGGAGGTGTCCGGGGGGTGTCCCGAGGGGTGTCCCGCACTCACCGGGGGGGTCCCGGGGGTGTCCCGGGGGGTCTCTCTTATTGCCCCCCCTTCTCCTCCTCCCGCGATCGCTCCGCGCGGGGGCCACGGCCCGGCAGAGCCCCCTCCGCGCGACAGCCAATCAGCGCGCGGCCCCCGCCCCGCCGGCCAATCACCGTGCACCTGCTGGGAGCAGTCCGCCAATGACAGCGCGGGGAGGCCCCTTTAGTCCCTCCCTCCACCGCCGTTCCGCAGCTAAGCCACGCCCTCCCCGCGAGAGGGGCGTGACTAACCCCACAGACAACCAATCAGATTCCTGAATCTTTTGATTACGCCCATAATGGGCGGGGCGAATGGCGCCGAACGTGGACGGAAACTGGCGGAAATATCCGAATGGGGGCCGCTGGGGGGAGGGTGTCCGGGATCGGGAGGTAGCGGGTTCGAGTCCCTGCCTCGACACAGCGAGGGACGGCCGGGGTGAGGGGACAGAGGAGTGTCGTGTTTGTCACAGTGTCACCCCCCCACCGCCCGCCGCGGCCCCGCCAGCTCTTCGTAGGCCTCCTGGAGCTCGATGAAGCGCCGCTCGGCCTCCCGCGCGCGGTGCCGGTTGTGGTCCGGGTGCCAGAGCTTGACGAGCTCCCGGTAGCTCCGCTGAACGTCCTCGGCCGAGCAGCCCCCGCGGAGCCCCAGGACCTGCGGGAGGCACAGGGCAGGGCGGTGGGGACGGTGGAGGGGGAGCCCAAAGCGGGGGTGTGGCCCCCGGAGTGTGGGAGCGGCCGAACCACTTGGACCCCCCATCCCAGCTTCCCCCACCCCATGGACCCCCGTCCCAGCCTCTCGTATGTCACAGCCCCCCATCTCAGCATCCCCCACCCCACAGACCCCCATCGCAGCCCCTCCTACCCCACAGACCCCCA